GGTTTGCTTTTGATACTTTTTCGGCTTGGCAACTATACTATTTTTTTAAGCTCGCGGGAACGCTGGCTGTTTCGACATGAATATCGATATTTTCGGAGTTTGTACCTCAATATATCGACACTTTCGTTTATTTCTTTTTCTCTCCTTCACCCTGTACTTTCGGTAATGCATTTGGTCCCAAACCGATTCCGGATGAATATAAAATCCTATGTAACAAACATGCGACATCAAGCGGAAAATGTTAACAACAGTTTAGTGCTGGTGCTTACCCGTAGATGTCGCCATTGTAAGATAAGAAGCTCTGATTGTGACAGATAGCGCTGTCGTAATATTATCACACTGGTTTCTTTTCATATAAAAACTAGGTAACAAATAGGCGAATGCATTTTAACAGAAATTTGCCTTATAGTAAATTCGGATATCAAATTTTTAATTCTTTTTTTAACATAAAGGTTTCCGGGTTACGCCGGGATATTTACGGCAATTGCAAAGCTGACGAATTGACAAGGAAAGGTAGGACCACCCACAACCTTCCGGGAAAGGACACGGTAAATACAGCAATAGCCACTTGCAAAAAGTTTATTAGAGATCACACCAGAGAACGTTTATAAAGGAAACGCACATCACTGCTTTTAAGTTAGAACAGAAGAAAAATATCCTTCTCTATGATTACGCTTAGGGGCAATTTCTTAATGTGGAATCAGAACCTGTATTGATCTACGTATGTGGCATTGGAAAACAATTACCAAATTGCTAAATTTGATAAATAATAATTTTCAAATTGCCCTTATCATCGTATGAAAGATACGCGCACACCTCTGTCTACAATTCGTTATTTAATTTTCCTTGAGAACGCTTCTTTAGAAAAAAAGTTTTAATTAACAAAACGTATAAACAATCCGCCCATAGTAAATCCATGGAAACCAAAAGTGAAAAGTGAACCGGTTCGGGGAAAATGAAACTCATGATAAGGCTGAATAAATTTGAAAAGTTATGTCACGAAATCAACACAAGTTGCCTTTTCTAAACCGCCCACGGTATATGTAACTACGTAAAAGCAAGCTTTTCGCACAATCTGCACAGTGTCTCGACTATATGGAGGAATGTGGAAAAAAGTCATGGCGAAAGTTGTTAATAAGCTTCTTGGGCTTAGAGATTCGGAAAAGCAGAAGTTATAAATATAAAATTTCAAGTAATTTACTTACCCCCCCCCCCCCCCCCCCTCTCTCTAGAATCGGCGCTTTACCGAATAATCAATTTAGTTGTCGCTTAACCCACGAAGGGAAGTGTTAATTTTCCAACTGTAATTACTTCTTTAAGTGTCATGGATTATAAACGTGAAAATGTTTATTAATCATTGAATATTTTAAAATTAAAAACGCTGTTCTGAGTAGAAGCAGTTACTTCGTGCCCCACTTCATATGCTATTTTCGAGCGCTGCTTTTGGGACAGCTTGCCACATAGGCACCGATAAAGAAAGTCGTAAGACGGATAGTTCTTTGGTATACCGAGTTGATGCTCTAACTGCCAAGCAATTATGGCTTTTCCAGTTCGTCTTATTTCTATCAGCTTGAGAGTGTTGAAACTGGTTGAGTAATGGGGTTATATCTAAAATCACTGCACATATTTTATCATCAAAGGTTGACCGATTGACCGTATACATACTTAGCATATATGTAATAAGATTAATGGAAAATAAGTAACTAAAAACCGTCCCACTTTATTCGTTCAGTTTTAGATGTCGGAATAGTAAAAAACGGTTCTTCTTCTTAACAAATTAAACCCATGATAGCATTGTTCTGGGCTGGACTCCCAGCTCCATCTATGTAGTTCTACACCCCAGGAACAAAATGCATAAAGTAGTGGTTTTCTAAAGAAACTATTAGGTTAAAACACACAGCAAGGCGACCTGGAGTACCGCTATCATGGATAGACACGTCCGCGCCAGCACATTAAACTGATATAAAGATTGCTCTAAAACTCCTAAGGGGATAGGAGCAGGTGTTTATGGCCCTAGACTGAAGATTTCGGTGCTCTGGGAACCTTCCCCTAACTGATTTTCTCCGACAAATACTTTATTAACTATTTTATTATTAAAAATATACTTCTCCGTAAGTTCAAAATTTCGTGAATTTTTTTTTCGAAATTTTCGAATATCATGAAATAAAAAAATAAAAATGTAAAGAAATATATTTCACACACAAAAGAAAATTAGGAGTAAATATTATATGGAATGACCCATATATGTATATTTTTTTAAATCCCAAAAAATTACACAAATTTTCGTCTTTGACCAGCTTTAATTCGTCTTGAAATTTATTTTTGTAAATTATAGCCAGTCAAAGTCAAAATTTCGTCGCATTTCGCGATTAAAAATATTTCTTTTGCACCCGTATAAGACATTTTTTAAAGATTTTGAAATTTCTCCCTATGATGTTGATGTTTTAAGGACCACCCTAACATGCATGCATAGTACGTATATAAGCCGATCTGTACATAAATATGTATGCAAAACATAACATAACCAATCTTTTAAAGGCAGTGCGCACAGTGCGTATTGCATACACCGACGTAATCGATGCATCAATTAATTAATCACAATCAATCAAAATTAAATCATGTGCATTGACAGCTCTTGCCTGCATATCCTATCAGTTCTTGGATCCGTGTAATCATATAAGTGTTGCAAATAAACATACACACATACGTACATAAGTGTATAGGTGATCTCTCCTTAATATATGTAGGTACTCTTATTTGTGGCGTTTTTTGGCTTTTATGCCGTTTACTTACATAAACATACACATGTTCACGCTCACGCGTTTATACAAACATCCATACATAGCAAAAACGCTGTAATTGATGGGCATGCGGTGCGCTATGCCTGCCATTTGTCATAATAAACCGTTAAAAGCAAATCAAAATAAATTACAAAAAAAAAGAAAAGAGAACAAAACAGTTTAGCTTTCTTTCTTTCATTTTTTCAACATTTCTTTTCAAACAAAATTTTTCTTTTGCACCGCAATGCTGATGAAGATGCCTGCATTTCTATTGAGAATGACTAAGTCTATTTTGACTCTCATTCGTTGTAACACGACAATGGTGTTGTGGTTACATTGGCGCTATACGGCTATAATCGAAAGCGTTGGTATGCATACATACATACATACATACATATGTACTCGTGTGTATGCACTTACTTGTATATACATATCATCATATTAACTGGGGATGCCGCTGCTTTCGCCGCTCATTAGCGCATTTTGTCTGAGCTGGCGCGCCAACTGAAGCGGTTGGTGATACACCTTTTTTTTTTTTGGCTTGCTCAAGAAAGATATTTTCATGCTTATAAATACGAGGCGCCCATAAACTTATCGTTCATTATTGCTTAATTTATCATCAGTTCTTTTATCTTCACTTCTCTTGGATGGCTCATTGTCTTCATCTTCATGATTACTGTTAACAATTGTTTAGTGCTCTGAGAGGCGCTTACGTATTAGAGGCGTTGCTATAAAATATTATTGATTATCTAGCTGCATGACTGCTGGTATGATCCATTTCTTCTTCCCCAACTATTAAGTGCCTGAAATCGGCAAATTATTTGGTTGAAAAACAAAAAAAGCAAGGTGCAAAACAACCAGCATATCATCATAATTTTACTACTACCTGCGCTGCTAGCACTGTGATTCAACAAACAAAAAAGAAAACGAAAAACAAAAGACTTCAGCTACGAACTTGTTACTTCAGCAGGTATTTTATGCATTTTTATTGCGAATTAAAGTGTTGCACCCATACGCCCGGCAACCAACCGCAAAATAACGCTAGGACCAAAACTTGACAGACTCGCATAAGAAGAGCCTACTACTTACTGTCCAGTGACTCATATCGTTGCTACAAATCGCGCTGTGAGCTAATTTGCGCCGATCATATCGCCACTACAGCTAATGACTTGCGTTAATGATGTCTCATCAAGCAGCGGGCTTGATTCTTCAACAACAACAACAACAACAACAACAACAAAATACGCTGCACAGGCAATTGTGAGTCAATCAGGCTGGCTGACTGCCAATCGCCTTTTGCCTTGTTATACAACTTTGTATGTATGCATGCATGGAAGTGTGTTGCGTATACGCAATGACTACACATTCATGCGCACATATGTATGTACATATTTTCGGATGCATGAAATAACGTATGCACATATGTATGTATGTGCGCGCTTCATTTTATCAAATGATGCCATCAATCAGTCGTCTGCACGCTGCCTTTTCCAGCAACAGTAAGTAGGTTTGTGTGTGCAGAGTTATTGTTGTAACTGCCGCTGCATATTTGCATATAAATTGCCTGCTAATGTCGGGTTATCTAAGTTGCAGCATCTGTCTTGGTGTTGTTAAGGTTGTTATAAGGTAATATTGTAGCAATTGTTGTTGCTGTTATTGTTATCAGCAATGTTGATGTTTTGTTTTGGTATGCCTTGGTCTTTTTAGCTGAACTGACTTGCTCCAGCCAATTTCGTTGGTTCTCATACACTTACATATATCTACATAGACAAATGTATGTATGTATACAAGTAGTTTTATGCACACTCCTTTGTTGTTGTGTTATATCATTGAGTGTATTACAATATACATATATATATATGTACATAAGTATGAAATGGGCTTCATAATGAGTCGTTATTTTTTATTCGTCCTTAACTTCACTGCAGTGCCTTTAAGTTGTCGGATCTTTGGAGTCTTTGCAATAATTTTTCATGTGATTAAGTGCTCTAATTTTTCACTCATTTTCGTTCAATTCTCAATTGAGCTCATGTTGAAGGACACTGAAGAAACTTTGTGGAGATAAAGATGCTCTTGATGATGCTGAAATTTGACGAGTTAATTTTGTGTTGACGTCTGAAGATTTTTGAAGTGCAATTTTTTTGCGCTCAGTTGGGTATAATGCAGACATCGATGTAATGTGAAAGTGATAGGATCGGATCGTTGGGCCCTAATTCCAATTTACAGTGGCATGAACAAGGGACAGAAAAAAGGAGAAGATGGTGGGGGTGTTGGAGCAGACTAGGAGTAAGATTAAAACCAAATTTAAGACTTAGATTAAGATTAATGTTAAGACTAACATTAAGATTATGATCGAGATTAAGTCTAAGATAAATATTAAGATTGAAGTTATGATTGGGGTTGAGATTGAGAGTAAGATAGAGATTAAGATTAACACTAAGCTTAAGAGAAAGATAAATATTAAAATTAAGATTGCGATTACGATTATGATTAAGACTAAGATTAATATTAAGACCAAGATTAAGTTTGAAGTCAATATTGCTGCTAAGACTTAGATTGAGATTGAAGTTGGGAGTAGGTTTAAGGCAGTAGTTCATTGTAAGGCCGAGGCCACGCAATGAGCGGCAAAGCGGCGAGCGGCTGAGCGGCTTAATTAAAACATATTAAATACTATTGAAGTGGCCATGCTCTGAGCGGCATTTCTGAGCGGCTGAGCGGCATTTTGGTATGGCGCCGCTACGCCGCTTGCCGCTTTGCCGCTCATTGCGTGGCCTCGACCTTAGGCAGATAAATACTTATATAATATGATGAGCTATACGGATAATAAGAAAAAGTTTCACTGCAGTCGCACGTGGCTTCCACACACAATTTGTTTTGCTTATTTATCGACTATGGTGGCTTATTTATATAAAAAGTCTTAAGCTGGGATCCCACGATTGCCGCAATACATCAATTATTACCTCATTTTATGCCCCAATCGTGTGATTTCACAATACATTGACTCATGCGGCAATAGAGGCCGATATTGTGCACAGCCCAATCAAATACGGCCCGTGTGCGGCAATCGTGTGATAGCTCGATTGGCAATCATGGGGCAATGAAAATTTCAAAATTGCGGCAATATTTATTGTATTCTTGTGCAGCAATTGAAGTGAACAATACACATCAATATTTAGGCTGTTTATTAATAATTTACTTTTTTGCTTCCTTATGTGTCCAAAAATCACTGAAATTAATATCCTTGTTTTCGGAAGCAACATAACTTTTAATTTAATTTGTAGTGAAATTATAATTTTTCTTGAAGTCCGATAACGGAATCTTTGCCGCGATATATACCACCACAAGCAAAACTCATACGAGAAGAATACGAAAGGTATTTTATGTCATGACAGTATACATTTATTAACAAAAAAAACTTAAAAGTTCAATACAGCCCACGACAAAGCAGTAGAATCTCAACATTCTGACCAGTCTTGACTATTTTTCTTCTACTTATTTAATCTTCATTATTTTCGTATAAAAGTATAGCTCATTGTCTAACAAAAACTGCATAAATCCAAATTGCAAGCTTTATACAAAAATTATAAAAATTTCTTAAACTTTTGAACACAATCCCACGGTTTATAATTTGGATTTCTAGAAAAAAATTGTTATTTAGTTTTGTAGCTCATTAAAATTTAGTACAATAAGGTGGAGGTTTGAAGTTGCTAAAAGATCCTGTTGATTTTTTTTAGCTGACGGTATTATGCACTTTCTTCTCTGTAAATTACTTTGTAAACTGCAAAACGAAATTTTTTCTAGAAACCCAAATTAAAAACCAATGAATTGTGATCAAAATTTTAAGAAATGTTTATAATTTTTGTATAAAGTTTGGAACTTGGACTTATGTGGTTTTTACTACACAATGAGCTATGGCTTTATAGGAAAAAATTAACATTAAACAACAGAAGAAAAAAGTCAAGACTGATCAAAATGTTAAGGTGCTATTTTTTGTTGCGAGCTGTACATATAATTATAAAATTTAATTCCAAACATAAATTATGTAAATTCGCAGCTTTCATTTAAACAAACATAACTCTTTTTTACCAATTTTACTTGTAATGAATAAAAAAACCTCTACGTAACAAAATTAAAAAGAAAACTGTTGCAACTTGAACTCCACATAGCACGTTGCAGTTATCGTCGAAAAATAAAAAAAAACTATACAATCAAACTTCTAAATAAATGCGTGAGTTTTCGTTGGGCACAAGTTTTTGCTTCTTTGCTTTCAAACAACAACAAATTTGCACAAAATGAGCCCGCAATATACAAAGCAGATGCAATTGATTTATTTTTTTTTTTAGTAAGAATACGCCATTTTTACACAAAAGAGAAAAAAACAGAATTTAGAGGTCAGCGCAACACTTTATGGTCACAATTGCCGCATGCTCGAACAATCTTGTGATAAGTTTGGGGCAATTATTGTCACTATATTGCTTTTCGCCAACTTACGGCAATGAGAATTGTATAAAAAGAGGCAACCGTGTGACTGTACAGAATTTCATTGGGACAATTTTTTTTATTGTGCTCCAATACAGCACAATAAAAATTGTTCCAGATTGGTCCATTTGCGGCAATCGTGGGATCTCAGCTTTAGTTTAAAAATTTTTCTAAATAAAACACTTTTTTTAAGGTGAAACTAACATAGAAAAGCTGTTCAGATCGGTTTTTAGAAAAAAGTGGTATTGCTAGTGATGTTGCTGGAAATGAGCTGACCAAAATAAAGCAATTACGATGCCTAAGTTAGTTGGCTGAAGCAAATGTAAAAAAAAACCTGACGAACATCGAGCACGATTGAACCCATGTGATATGCTTGATTCTAGTGAAGCTGACAACTAAAATGGTAAGCATAAGATTTTTGTGATGCAAGATGTATACCAGAAAACCAGGGAAAAAATTAGCGTCATTCTTGCAAAACCACTGTCAGACTGCCATATTCGTTGACCAAAAGGTAGGAAAATTGTTTAAGTAATCCAGAAATTGAATAATATTCAGTAAAAAAGCTCCTCACCCTTCTTCGTTCAATACTTCAAATATATTTCAAACCAACCATTCTCTAATGACTCTTTAATTAATCGCCATGCGAAATGATTAAAACACGATTTAGTCTTTAGTAAATTTGTCCACATACAGACATACATACATGTATGTATCCGAGACAGCTCCAGCAGTAACAAAAGTTTTTGAGACGTTGCACAGTGGGCGAAAGAGCCAATTTAGCGGCGTGGAATTCAATTATAAAATTCTGAATTGCACCGATTTTTTTTTTTTATACATCTATCCATTTCTAATACCCAAATACTTTGTGACTCTAAACAGCTGTGAGCTTTTAAACTACGAAAATGCTTTGGAATATGTAAAATAATATTTTATCGCATTTTTGGTTAGTGCATTACATTGGTTGGCCTTTAAATGTATAATTTCTCCAACCAAAACGATAGAAACGTCCACATCGTAAGTTTCACAGAAGCATGCTGCTTGGCTTAGCAGAGTTTCTTTATTTAGCTCAAGAGCGTTAACTCGTATCGTCATGTTTCCAATAAGGCAGTCGATGACAACATTGAAGACCTATCCTCAAAATTCGAATTCATGGATTCTCGAAGTAACTTGTCTTGCTCTACGTCATTTGTCTTAGGACATATCTAAAGAACCAACATTTCCAGCCACCGTTTTGCATTCCCGCAAAATCAACGACCACTGATTTCTCAAATTTTTAAGATCGTCGAGAAAACGCTTTATGTTGGCAGCTTCTACAACAATCGTGACATCTCTGGCTTGTAAATTTTTAGCCTGGTAATCAATTAGACCAGAATTTTGAGAAAAAAAGAGGGCATCAAGAATGTTATAGCTTCTAACAGCATTCAATGTAAAAATGTAATGCTTTCATAAAAAAGTGTGAAAAGGCATGTAAATTTTATTAGGTAATCTGCCTTATCCTGAGTTTCGCCTGAAAAAAAATTCACCCGAAAATTTTTTATCAACCCATAGTAAAACCATGGAAACCAAGAGTGAAAAGTGAAACGGTTCGGGGAAAATGAAACTCATGATAAAGCAGAATATTTCTTTTGATTCATAAGGTAATCAGCCTTATCATGAGTTTAATTTTCCCTGAACTTGACATTGAACTGGGCCCGATTCAATTGACCCCGCTCGCCCCCCTCTCGACGATTCTGGTTACACAGTATTCCGTTGAGGAATTAATTAAAAACTAAGTCGCGTAACAACAAAGAAAAATATCTATAGAAAGCTTTAACTTCACAAATTTATGTATTAAGGCTGGAGTTAATTGCTTGTCGAATTGCACTTTTGTAGCGCCCTTAATTTATAAGCTATTAATTTAATTTCCACAAAATTGGCTATTTTGCCCATTGTGCGCTTTCGCATCATTTAATACGTCACCATTGCTGCTGCTATCTTTGCTGGCGATGGCTGTGATGCCCACTCGTATTCATCAAAAATACCTGTACCAACATAAATAAAAATTTGGTTTATAAACTTGTGTGTATGTATATGAATAGTCATCCCGCCGCAGGCGTTAATAACAAGATTAACTCTTAATTTTGAATAATTTCTTACTTTTTTCCACAGAGCGTTACGCAGTTGGGCCTTTTATTCTTTTGGGGAATCTTGTATTGAATTATTTGTATCTTCACTTGTTTTGATGTTTACATACATACATACATACATACATATGTAGCTAGAGGCATTTACAAGAGCGTGCCCATGCGCAACTATCCGCCCATTTGTACAGCTGTCCATCTATCCAATCATTTATCTAGTTATGCGTATTGTCTGTTGCTTCCACCCATTGTATGTTTAGACAAATAAATTTGTATCTTAATTTATGCTGATGCTCTCTGCAGCAGCCTCAAAAGCCTATCAAAAGGCGTGCCACGCGCCGTCTCGCGATGTTTGCCTAGCTATTAGAGAACTTTGTTTGGTAAGAGCAGCAGTGGAATATTAGATTCTTCTTTTGTAATCTTTATTTTGTTTTCGTTTACTTTTATGTCTTTACTAATTAGGCAACGTTTTAATGATACTTAATTCAATATGAAATTAATACATTTTATAAAACGTAATACATAGTAGTTAAATACTAATATCTATGAGTTATATATAAAGGCTGAAAAAAATGGAAAGGGTTTGAAAAGTTCTCAAAACCTTCATGTAAAGTCATTAACAATCAAGAATATTTTTTTTAATTAGATTCAGCGTATTGTATTTAATTGTGGAAATAATTCAACACAACTCAAAGAAAAGTCACATGCAATTCACAGAGGTATAGATAAATATTATACTTTTACTGAGTTGCGATCAATTTTGAGAAAAGCTGGCCCATTGTATAACTAAATAGAGGAGGCTATTATAGACCACATAAGGAAACATTTCTGTAGAAAAAACGGTAATCTGAATTTTTGCTCATTTTTGATTGATACCACAGCCCAAAAAAATGGAAACAAATTCTGGTACGGCAAATGTTAAAGCGGTTTTTGATAGACTTTTTGTGCTGATTACGAATTCGTTAGCGCAAAGTTTCCATCAGCTCCAGGTTTTGAAAAAAAAAAACGAGACCAAAGTGTGAAAAAACGCGTTTTTTACAA